GGGCTGATCATCTGAGGTCGGAAGTTCGAGACCAGCCTGACCAACATGGAGAAACCCCATCTCTACTAAAAATACAAAATTAGCCAGGCGTGGTGGTACATGCCTGTAATCCCAGCTACTCATGAGGCTGAGGCAGGAGAATCACTTTAACCCGGGAGGTGGAGGTTGCAGTAAGCCGAGATTGTGCCACTGCACTCCAACCTGGGCAACAAGAGCGAAACTCGGTCCCCCAAAAAAAAAAGAAAGAAAGAAAACTCAGTTTTGCCAGGTACAGTGGCTCATGCCTAAAATAATCTCAGCACTTTAGGAGGCCAAGGTAGGACAATCATTTGAGCCCAAGAATTCAAGACCAGCCTGGGCAACATAGGGAGACTTCACCTCTATTCAAAAAAGAAAAAAATTAGCTGGGCATGGCGGCATGTGCCTTATAGTCCCAGCTACTTGGGAGGCTGAGGTGGGAGGATCACTTGAGCCCCAAGAGTTGGAGGTTGCAGTGAGCCATGCTCATACTGCTGCACTCCAACCTGGGTGACAGTATGTGACCCTCTCTTAAAAAAAGGAAATCAAACTCAATTTTACTTGCAATTCAGTGGGATTATTTATTTAACCTTTTTTTTCACATAAAATATCGTGGAACTCCAGTTTATACACCAAGACCCTCTGCCTCATTATTCAAACTCTAATTTTTCTCATTTGTTCTGGAAATTCCTTCTTGATACACTCTTTATTTCTATTAGACATGGAGTATTTCATTTGGGAAGTTAATGCTCTTCCAGTATTTCTACCCCTGAAGCTGACTCAACTGTCTACCTTCCTGTTTTTAAACAGGAGGAGAGATGAGAAGAGGCTTCAGACCTAGTTTCAGTCGGATGAATAAAATTACACACTTTTACTTACTTCTAACTGAAATTTAACATTCTCTTCACTTGTGAAGATAGGCAACAAATGATAGTAGTGTCTTATTCTGTTTGGGTACTATAACAAAATACCATCAACTGAGAAGCTTATAAACAACAGAAATTTATTTCTCACAGTCCTGTAGGCTGGGAAGTCCAGATCAAGGTACTGGCAGGTTTGGTATGCAGTAAGGGCTCACTTTCCTATAGCTGGCACCTTACTGTGTCCTCGCATGGTGGAAGGGGCAAATCTGCTTTCTGGGGCCTTCTTTATAAGGATACTACCTCTCAAAAGGCCTCACCTCCAAATACCATCACATTAGGGGTTTGGATTTTAACAGCTACTTGGGAGGCTGAGGCAGGAGAATTGCTAATTGCTTGAACCCATGAGGCGGAGCTTGCAGTGAGCTGAGATCGGGCCACGGCACTCCAGCCTGGTGACAGAGCAAGACTCTGGCCCAAAAAAAAAAAAAAAAAAAGTAGTATATCACAATTTTATTTCTTAGTGTTTTATGAGTGTTTTTAATATAACAAAGTTATATTTAATATATACAAAGTTTCTTTGTAGACCTGTATATTATATTTCATACATTTTAAAACATTGTGAAAGGATCTATATTCACTACTCTGCCAAGGTGTCTGCTGCACAAAAAAGGTTAAGAACCCATGCTTGGGATATGATTCATCCCTCTACCCACCCCTTATCTACTCTCCCCAACTTTATCTTCCCCTCAAGTTTTCTCATCTCCCCTTCTGTTTTTTTTTCTGCTCAAAGGCTAGATCTTTTCCCTCAGGCCCTGATCCTTCCTTCTATAAGGTAATTTACCCACTAACGGATCACAGCCTGCATTTTGTGAAACATTGAGCCACATCAAATATAAAAATAACTGAGTTCTTGCGCGGTGGCTCATGCCTGTAATTCCAGCACTTTGGGAGGCCATGGTAGGAGCATAGCTTGAACCCAGGAGTTCAAGACCAGCCTGGGCAATATAGTGAGACCTCGTCTCTACATAAAATTTAAAAATTAGCCGGATGTGGTGGCACACACCTGTAGTCCCAGCTACTCAGGAAGCTGAGGTAGGAGGATTGCTTGAGCCTAGGAGGTTAAGGTTGTGGTAAGCTGTGATTGCTCAACTGCACTCCAGCCTGGGTGACAGAGAGAGATCTTGTCTCAGGAAACCAAACAAACAAACAAACAAACTGTGAATGGTAAGGTTTTATATACATACGATATATATAAAATATATAATATATAATATAAATATATATAATATATATCATATTATATACATATATAATATATATTACATATATAAAAAAATTTCATGCTACTTTATAATTTTTCCTAGGGCTGGCCTTGTACTCTCATTAGGTGTAAATTATTGCTTTATATTTTTGAAGGCGATTGATCATTTTAGATGATCTCAACTCATCTTTCCTAGGAGACCTTGGAGTGATGATTTATTGTGATCAGGTTTATATGCAAATAGCCCTAGTTTCCTAACAGAGGAGGAAGAGGATGAATGTGTCCTTGCACCTTCATTCTCACCTTCTCCCTCTCATTACCTGCCTCTTGTGTCCCTCCCCCACCCCTTCTTCTTCCTCTCCATCCCCTTCATTCTGTGGTCATTCATTACGACTACAGTTAGTTGCTTACCTTTTAGTATTAGCTTCTTGGCCAGTTTAATATTGAAAAATGTTTTCCATGCTCCTTGTGAAGTTGGGTCCAAAGAAATCTCATCCTGGCTCAGTTTATTTAAGTAGTTTTCTCATAAGTAAAGCAAATTTATCATAATTCTAATTTAGCAATATTCTGTACATTTTAGTTGACAAAGAGATGATGCAAAGAATTAGAGAAAAATCTATCTTACAAGCACAAGAGAGAGCAAAAGAAGCTACGGAAGCAAAAGCTGCAGCAAAGAGGGAAGATCAAAAATATGCACTAAGTGTCATGATGAAGGTAAGTTGCGATTGACAGGCAAGTCCTCTAAAGAGATAATAGTAGCCTGTGTGAGGTTAGTGGGTTCCAGCTACTGGACTTCCTCAGCATTTTCTTAATACTTTTTTTATAGGACTTACTGTGTTATATAGGCTGTCTGCTATTTATATGTGTTTTTTATTTTTATTTTTACTTTTCTTGAGATGGAGTCTCGTTCTGTCACCCAGGCTGGAGTGCATTGGCACGATCTCCCCTCACTGCAACCTCCATCTCCCAAGTTCAAGCGATTTTCTTGCCTCAGCCTCCTGAGTAGCTGGGATTACAGGCGCCCACCACCATGCCCAGCTAATTTTTTTTTGTATTTTTAGGAGAGACAGGGTTTCACCATGTTAGCCATGATGGTCTTGATCTCCTGACCTCGTGATCTGCCTGTCTCGGCCTCCCAAAGTGCTGGGATTACAGGCGTGATCCACCACGCCTGACCTATATATGTTCTTGAAAATCTGAATGAAAGTCAAAGGTGTAAAAGTTGGACAATTGTTTCAGGGAGAGGGTTCTATTTCTAGGGGAGAAAAAATAAAGTTGCAATGGTGCAAGTGTTTTGCTTCTTTATAAACCTTGGAGTAACGGACATGATTTTTAAAACAAGAAAAGCGTATTTAAAACACTATGTCAAATTTTTTTAACTGTTAAGAGTTTTAAGTGAAAGTTTTAATCAGCAATATATTTTTTGAGAAACAGTTTACATTCCATATAATTTACCCATTTAAAGTGTACAATTTAATAGTTTTTAGTACATTCAGAGTTGTATAACCATTACTACAGTCAATTTTAGAACATTTTCATCACCCCCCAATAAACACCAATACCCATTAGCAGCCATCCCCCATTTACCGTAACATTTAGTCTTAGGCAACTGCTTATCTACTTTCTGTCTCAATAGATTTACCTATTTTGACTAATTTTTACAAAAAAATAATTATCTCAGGCCGAGCACGGTGGGTCATGCCTGTAATCCCAGCACTTTGAGAGGTCGAGGTGGGCAGATCACGAGGTCAGGAGTTCAAGACCAGCCTGGACAACATAGTGAAACCCCGTTTCTACTAAAAATACAAAAATCATCCAGGCATGGTGGTGGGCACCTGTAATCCCAGCTACTCGGGAGGCTGAGGCAGGAAAATCGCTTGAACTTGGGAGGTGGAGGTTGCAGTGAGCGGAGATTGCGCCACTGCACTCCAGCCTGGGGGACAGAGTGAGACTCTGTCTCAATAAAAATATTTCTTATCTCAGGTTCCCTTTTTGACATCTTGAAATGACTAAGGAATCTATAGTATGCATTATGTAAGAATTTTTATGGACCCATGACTGTTTTTTGGATTTTCATAACTAGCATTGTTTTTTTATCATCAACAGTTCATGATTCCAAAGATTTCTCCACTTGTTTTATCACTTTCACTTAACTTTTATATATAGCATATGGTTATATACTTTGTCTTTTTTTTTGGAATGGAGTGTGGCTCTGTTGCCCAGGCTGGAGCGCAGTGGTACAATCTCAGCTCACTGCAACCTCCGCCTCTCAGGTTCGAGCAATTCTCATGCCTCAGTCTCCTGAGTAGCTGGGACTATAGATGTGCACCACCACGCCTGGCTAATTTTTTGTATTTTTAGTAAAGACGGGGTTTCACCATATTGGCCAGGCTGGTCTCGAACTCCTGACCTCAAGTGATTTACCCGCCTTGGCCTCCCAAAGTGTTAGGATTACAGGCATGAGTCGCCACACTCAGCCATATAGTTTGTCTTTTACTTAGTAATTGAACTGGTCAGCTGGTCAAAGATTCCTGCCTTTAGTATACTTAATTCCATCTTTTCTTTATTGTGTGATCATAGCTGTTGACCTTTTGATTTTATCATTTTCCTGAATTAAAAAAAAATATAAAATTTGTGGTAATAGTTAAATATTCACTGAAATAATAAAACAGTTAAATAATGGCACACATACTGCTGTATTTGGTATGTCAAAACAGAACAGTTGACCGGCAGGAAGCACCACTATGCTGTGCCTTGAAGCTTTTAATCTACTAATGTATGAAAGCTTGACTTTGGTATTTGGAAAGGTGATTTAGAGGAATTAATATATAAAATACGAAGATACGGGTTATATTAAGAGGACAGAGCCTATAAAAGCCAGTATTCTGTTCCACAAACTGTTTTCTCCCTTCCCTCAGTAGCATTGAGGAACTATGTTTTGTTTCATCCTTATTATAGCCATTATCAAGTAAAGTGGTGCTCAAACATTTGGATGAATTAATATGAATGCATTGCTGTAGTACTATGTACCTGTAGCAAACATCTACTTTGGTGAATAGCTGAAGGTATTTTCACTCTGTACAATCTTAAACACTTCTCAGAAAAGAACTTTGATGATCCAATAAGAGCAAATAGTAACAAAAGGCAACCTATTGTTAGCTTAAGTTAGCATAAATCAATTTAAAACTTGATGGACATCTACCAAAAATTAGTGGTTTTCAAGTAGTAACCTTTTAAAAAATAATTAGCGGGGCCATGTCAATTCGCTATGCTGTGTGTACAGGTATTATTCTACTTTAGCTACCATAACAAAATGTTGTTTAACAGAAATTTATTTTCTCATAGATCAAGGTCTGGTAGGGTCTCTTTCTGGTTAGACTCTCTGTTTTTGGGGCCTTCTTGCTGTGTTCTCACATGGTGGAGAGAGAGCACACAAGGAAGCTCTTCTGTGTTTCTTATAAGGACACCAATCCTATGAGATCAGGGCCCCACCCTAATAACTTCGTTTAACCTTGATTACTTCTATAGAGGCCAGACTATGTACAAATGTAGTCACACTGAGGGTTAGAGCTTCAACATAGGAATTTTGGAGGGAAACAAATGTTTAATCTGTAACACTGTGTAACAAACCATCCAAAAGTTAGTGGCTTAAAACAACAAACACTTATTTCTCAAACTTTTTTGTGTTGGTTATATGATTCTTGTAATCTGAGGCTGGCTCAGTTGTGACTGGACGTTCTAGGGTGGCTTCACTCACATGTCTAGAGCCTTGACTGAGAGAGCTGAAATGTCTCCCCATGTGGTATCTCATCCTTCAGGAGCCTAGCCCAGGTTTCTTTGCTTGGTAGTCTTAAGAATCCTAGCATCAAGAGAGGGAAAGCCCCACTGCACAAGTGCTTTTAAAGCTTCTACTGTGTCATATTTGCTAATGTACCATTAGCCACAGCAAGTCATATAGCCAAGTCCAGATTTAAGGATTGGAAAAATGCACTGTACCTCTTCTTGGAAAGAAGGATTAAGTCACATTGCAAAATGGTATGCATATACAGATGGGAAGAATTCGTGGCCATTTTATAGTTTACTCTGTTTAAATTTAAAAGATTAGGATTTAATTATAAAGGGGATTTGACTCATCTAGCAAAAAAGTTCAGAGCTAGAACAATGATCAAATGTGGTTAAATCAACGTTTGGACCCCAACTCTCTGCAGCATCTCTAGCACTGCCTGTTCTTTGTGCCTGCTTCATTCTTGGGCTGATGATAGTGAGATGATCCACATCTGTACTTAATAGGGCCCGGAGGAAGATAAACCATCTGCTATTTTGGCTCTGTTTGGCTCTCTTTTAAGCTCTATAAAACAATGGTTTCAGATATTGTGTGACGATATTAATAATGATAATTTTTTTTTGGTTTTGTTTGTTTGTTTGTTTTGAGACAGGGTCTCATTCTGTTGCCCAGGCTGGAGTGTGGTGACTCGATCTTGGCTCACTGCAACTTCCGCCTTTCAGGTTCAAGTGATTGTCCTGCCTCCGCCTCCCAAGTAGGTGGGACTACAGGCATGTGCCACCACGCCTGGCTAATTTTTGCATTTTTTGGTAGAGATGGAGTTTCACCATGTTGGCCAGGCTGGTCTTAAACTCCTGACCTCAGGTGATCTGCCTGCCTCGGCCTCCCAAAGTGCTGGGATTACAGGTGTGAGCCACCATGCCCAGCTGAGTTTTATGTATGTTTACATGCATCTTTATTTCAAGTCATTATTGTTTCAGATTTGGTTTACTACATCAGGTTCTCTGTATCTTTGTTGTAGATCTATCATTCATTAACTAACAAACATTACTGAACACCGTGAAAGGTGCTGAGACAGAGCTGAACAAGCCAGTCTTCACTTTCACTTTATTCATAGTCTAAAGAGGGTGACAGACAAGAAAAATCAAAGGTTATACCAAATATGCATAAGTGATCATTGGAGGATAGAAAGAAAACACTGATTTGCGACCAGCCTGGGCAACATGGCAAAACCCCATCTCTACTAAAAATACAAAAAATTAGCCAGGCATGGTGGTATGCACCTGTAGTTCCAGCTACTTGGGAGACTGAGGTAGGAGGATCACTTTAATCTGGGAGGTGAAAGTTGCATAAGCCAAGATCATTGCACTGCTGCATTCCAGCCTGGGTGACAGAGTAAGACCCTGTCTCACAAAAAAAAAAAAAAAACAAAAACCAAACACTGGTACAAGATTGGTATTTCGGCTGGGCGCGGTGGCTCATACCTGTAATCCCAGCCCGAGGCGGGTGGATCACGAGGTCTGGAGATCGAGACCATCCTGGCTAACACGGTGAGACCCTGTCTCTACTAAAAAAAAAAAAAAAA